TAAATATATAATACATTTTTATTCTTTTGTTTACTTCTTCATCGCCTTGCCGTAAGGATCAGTTTGCCGTTTCATATTTTTCTTTAGCCCCCCCCCCCCGGCCCCAGTCTCCGGCTTTAAACAAAAAAACACTATCCGGTGTTAGCCCCACTAGGGCAATTTGTTTAAATTTATAATATATTTTTATTATTTTGTTTACTTCTTCATCGCCTTGCCGTAAGGATCAGTTTGCCGTTTCATATTTTCTTTAGCCCCCCTCCCCCGGCCCCAGTCTCCGGCTTTAAACAAAAACACTATCCGGTGTTAGCCCCACTAGGGCAATTTGTTTAAATTTATAATATATTTTTATTCTTTTGTTTACTTCTTCATCGCCTTGCCGTAAGGATCAGTTTGCCGTTTCATATTTTTCTTTAGCCCCCTCCCCGGCCCCAGTCTCCGGCTTTAAAAAAAAAACACTATCCGGTGTTAGCCCCACTAGGGCAATTTGTTTAAATTTATAATATATTTTTATTCTTTTGTTTACTTCTTCATCGCCTTGCCGTAAGGATCAGTTTGCCGTTTCATATTTTTTCTTTAGCCCCCCCCCCCCGGCCCCAGTCTCCGGCTTTAAACAAAAAACACTATCCGGTGTTAGCCCCACTAGGGCAATTTGTTTAAATTTATAATATATTTTTTATTCTTTTGTTTACTTCTTCATCGCCTTGCCGTAAGGATCAGTTTGCCGTTTCATATTTTTCTTTAGCCCCCCTCCCCCGGCCCCAGTCTCCGGCTTTAAACAAAAAACACTATCCGGTGTTAGTCCCACTAGGGCAATTTGTTTAAATTTATAATATATTTTTATTCTTTTGTTTACTTCTTCATCGCCTTGCCGTAAGGATCAGTTTGCCGTTTCATTTTTTCTTTAGCCCCCCCCCGGCCCCAGTCTCCGGCTTTTAGACAAAAACACTATCCGGTGTTAGCCCCCTCTAGCTTGTATTAAAAATGAGTTCGACTTTTTTACGACGTTATCAAGCTTAAAAAGCGAAAAAATCAACAATTATCTTGATCAGCCTGCTATGCAGCCCATTTTGAAACGATTTTTTACTGAGTCCGATTATATCACCCTCCTCCATTTATAAGTTTTGCTAAAGCCCCTCCCTTACGAAGTTGTATAAGCCCAGGGCTTTATAAGCGGAAGTTTACGGTATACAACGCTACCATATCAAGAAGAGAAATAATTTGTCATTAGAGAGTCTACAAAAGGGGTTCCTTTCTGCAAGAGAGGATAGCCCGTTTATCCTTTCTTGCTTTCTCTCAATAATAATATAAAGAAGTGTAAGGGGTTAGTACAGTAGACCTCGATCGGAGTGCAGCTTCCTTGTATATCGCAAATCCTCTATTAGGACCCCCAGGGGCTTATTTATTTCAAAGCCCATTGGGGGGCTTATTTGAGAGAGGGCGTATTTAATTTAGAAAAGACGATGGTATCAGTTCTCCATAAAGAACTAGCCAACAAAGTGGAAAAGCTCGGGTACAAGAAGTTGGAGGTCATGCAGCCGAGGATCAAATTCCAGTTAGTGAATAAACCATCCCTGATCAGTTCAAACGAAGTTATACAGTCGTGATTGATTAATACAGTCTATCATTTATTAGTGAAGAATAATTAGGGGAGGGAAGGGGAGCTTATTAACTTTCTTCCCCCGAAAAGAGGGGGGAGAGGGCTTATTTGAGAGGGTGGTTAATAAAGGATTTACGGTAACACTTCTTAAATCCTTCTCGTCAATATTTTTCCTTTAATGGTTGATAATCTTATCCTGAAAGTCTGCACGTACATAACGTTGAGGCTGATTACACAGGTGATGTCAACACGATGTATTAAGGATCCACAGGCGGCATCCAGCACCTCATTAACGACGTAACTGCACGATTATGACGTAACTTTCTTGAGTGAACGACTGAGTGTGTTTACGAAAAGAAGTGGTTTCAAGTGAAGACATCAAGTTGACATCGACTTGACAGAAAAAAAATCTATAAAGTAATTCCATTTCTCTTTTTCTTTCCTTATTTCTTCTTTTTTTCCTTTCTTTTCTATTTTTCTTTTTTCTTGAAGAAGAGACAAAGTGTAAATGTATGAGAAGTTAGCTATGGATTGTCGGACATTGTCAAGAATCAACGTCATGTTTTCGAATAAAGCAGAGACATATCATGATCACAAAAAACAATTATTCAAAATGGCGGCGAGCCGGAAATCAGAAAGCAAAATTATTGATTTGCGTATCAGTTTTTGGTCACATCGCTTTCTCTACAAACAATGGAATTTAAACCTCCCTCCAACACTGAGTCAAAATCAAATTGCTACAACAGTGGAGGATTTCAATGAATCAGTACAAGCTGCTGACGCCGAAGCGTTCATACTGAGAGAGGACCTCATCAAAATTGCCCCATCATCATTTGTTGGCATATGTGGCATATTTGAGTAAGAGAAAAGTTTTTAGTCTTGTTATTCCGCTATCCTTCGTATCGCCCATCCTGGACTCATTCGACCTCAACTGATTTCGGGTATTAGACAAAGATATTGGGCAAACTTAGTATCTTGTTAAGAAAATTTGTATACTTTAATTTTACTCTATGTTGAGATACATTGTATAATAACCAGTCTGAACTCTCCGTGGGATTTAGAAACCAATGAACTAAAACTATAACAGCAACCACACGATGGCGATGTCGTATACCATATAGCTATAACGCCGCTGCACATACCATTTAGGATTAGGCTTCTGTTCACACATTGAAACGCTGATTTCGTCGCAGTTTCTGTAACGGTGCGAAGTTGCGCTGCGCCGATCTTAGTGGATCGTCAAATATCGGTATTTAGGTTTGGCACAGATAGCTTTTCACGTCGACTTGAAAAGCCTTTCGATATGTAGGGTAGACATACCCAGTTACCTACAGACTGAAGAAACCCGAAATTAATTCCTTATTTTATGTTTTAAGGAGGATGTAAACACAAAAAGGCAATTATCTTTAAATTCGTTGAATTTGCATACGGTTTCGTACGAATGAACCCCTCAAAATTCGCCTGCGAACGCTTTTGACAAATCGAACGAGGTGGAATTATAGCGATGAGATAAAATGGCGCGAATTTATTTTCAAGGACATTTTAGCTGCCGCTGCCGTCGCGTGGGTACCTCATTCCTACTGCAAAACTAGTGCGGTCGTATATGAGGGGTTTATCAGTATATGTAATGCAATATATATAAAAAAAATATCGCACAAAACAACAGAAACAAACAAACAGGCAAAAAAGTAACAAAATAAGGGAGATGTGTGGTACGGGCAATAACAGGGCGCAGTCACTGACTGACAACTGACACCCGGCCCTATATATCAAAGCGCGAGGCTGGCCTCCATATTCCTATAACATTTATAACAGCAGACAAGTGAAATATCTGCATGTTTGTGACATTTTATGCCACAACGACTACTTCCCACGATGAACATATAGTTATATTGGGTTCTACATGCACCACGAACCATAGTTAATATCAGGTTGGCTCCGTCATGTGCAACAAGTGCCAGCCAAGCATGGGTAGCCAAGTCTAAAACCTTCTTCGTATTTAAAAACTTTCTAGTCTTAGAAGTTTTAACTATTTAAAAACTATTAACTATCTTAAACAAGTTATTTTACAGACTTAATATTTGAAAGATATTATCGTTGCTCAAGTTCCTTATTGAAGCTTGTATCGGTGCCGGGAAAAATTGAACGCATGTCTCTAACTCAGCACTGTAAATTCAAAAGATCCGCTTCTGTCCCAAAATGCATGCAAATTTGGTCGGGCAGAACCAAATCTGGTTCAATCTCTCGTGAAGTCATTTACGCACAATTTGTACTCGCTCGTAACATGCCCGCCCGACGGATTCTGCAGGGACCGAATTAGACTGTAATGGTGTACTGTATTCGGCTTTTTGCCCAAACAAACGCACCAAATTTGAAGTCGGTTAACATAATCTTTTTAATTTACAGTGCGTGGAACATTAGACCTCTTATATACATAAACACTACGGAAAATGCGTGGGTCTGTTTGAACGCCAAATGCTTCGTGAAAGAAAATTCAGATCCAGCCTCGTGCAGAAGCCATCCGAGGCCAGCTTAAAGCAAGCCTTTCAGATCATTCACTCTTAGGGTACAAATAAGCCTAAGGAATTCGACTATTTTGGCAAAGACAATCAATCGCTGTTTAAGTTGAGATCTCTGGAGCCCAGGCGATCTGACGCACGTCTCTGTATGCTGTACAAACAGAGTAATGGATAAGCCACCTACAAATGCGACAAGTTTCAGAGAGAACATAAGAGCAGAATGGACACCAGGGTCTCGTCTCTCTGTCATCGATTTGAACAGCCATGTTATACATGTGATTATTATAAGAACTCTTTTTACCTTAAGACAATTGCACAGTGGAACAATCTCCAACCAGAAATTATAGCCTCTACTTCGTCATGTTCATTTAGGCAATTGGTGTGTAACCTTACATATTGATTAGTAATTTTAATATGTTATTGTTGTATTCATTGTTGTAATTGTTATTATTTAAAGCAGTCTGCAATACTCTAGATCTGTTAAGAGTGAAGACTTAATTGGTAAATAAGTTAACCAACAAAATCAACTAAAATTCTTCTTAAAACAACAGCGAACTTATACTATATTACATACCCTATTTATTCAAGTGTACCATACCATCTTCAACAAGTCTAGTGAACGGAATTAAAACTACTTATGCCCTCCTTTCAAACTATCCAATGCGCGCTGTCTTTTCTCCACCTAAGGGTTACTGGCAGCAGTGCTTTTGTGATCTTCTCCAAACAGTTTAATACGTAAGCCCAGGGGCATGCTGAGAGGATTGAAAAGCTGCTTTCAAATCACCTAGTTTACACTGTGTTATCCCCAGTGAGTAGTAACAGCCAGCAGTACTTTAATGTTCTTCTCCAGACAGTCTAATACGTATGTCCAGCGCACGCTGGTGAGATTGACGAGCTGCTTTCAAATCACCTAGGTTATGCTGTGTTACCCCCAGTGAGTAGTAACAGTCAGCAGTACTTTGGTGTTCTTCTCCAAACAGTTTAATACTTATTTCCAGTGCACGCTGTTTTGACTGAACAGCTGCTTTGAAATCACCTTGTTCATGCTGTGTTTTTCCAAGTTCGAGGTAACAGTAAGCAGTACTTTGGTGTTCTTCTCCAAACAATTTAATACGTATGCCAAGTGCACGCCGGTGAGATTGAAGAGCTGCTTTCAAATCACCTTGATCATAGAGTGTTACCCCCAGTGAGTAGTAACAGTCAGCAGTACTCTGGTGTTCTTCTCCAAACAATTTAATACGTATTTCCAGTGCACGCTGTTCTGACTGCAGAGATGCTTTAAAATCACCAAGGTTATGCTGTGTTATCCCCAGTGAGTAGTAACAGTCAGCAGTACTTTGGTGTTCTTCTCAAACAGTTTAATACGTATTTCCAGTGCACGCTGTTTTGAGTGAACAGCTGCTTTGAAATCACCTTGTTTATGCTGTGTTTTCCAAGTTCGAGGTAACAGTCAGCAGTACTTTGGTGTTCTTCTCCAAACAATTTAATACCTATGCCAAGTGCACGCTGGTGAGATTGAAGAGCTGCTTTCAAATCACCTAGTTCATACTGTGTTACCCCCAGTGAGTAGTAACAGTCAGCAGTACCTTGGTGTTTTTCTCCAAACAATTTAATACGTATGCCAAGTGCACGCTGGTGAGATTGACGAGCTGCTTTCAAATCACCTAGGTTATGCTGTGTTACCCCCAGTGAGTAGTAACAGTCAGCAGTACTTTGGTGTTCTTCTCCAAACAGTTTAATACTTATTTCCAGTGCACGCTGGTAAGACTGAACAGCTGCTTTGAAATCACCTTGTTTATGCTGTGTTTTTCCAAGTTCGAGGTAACAGTCAGCAGTACTTTGGTGTTCTTCTCCAAACAATTTAATACGTATGCCAAGTGCACGCTGGTGAGATTGAAGAGCTGCTTTCAAATCACCTAGTTCATAGAGTGTTACCCCCAGTGAGTAGTAACAGTCAGCAGTACTCTTGTGTTCTTCTCCAAACAGTTTAATACGTATTTCCAGTGCACGCTGTTTTGACTGCAGAGCTGCTTTAAAATCACCAAGGTTATGCTGTGTTAACCCCAGTGAGTGGTAACAGTCAGCAGTACTTTGGTGTTCTTCTCCAAACAGTTTAATACGTATGCCAAGTGCACGCTGGTGTGATTGAAGAGCTGCTTTAAAATCACCTAGTTCATACTGTGTTACCCCCAGTGAGTAGTAACAGTTAGCAGTACGTTGGTGTTCTTCTCCAAACAGTTTAATACTTATTTCCAGTGCACGCTGGTAAGACTGAACAGCTGCTTTGAAATCACCTTGTTTATGCTGTGTTTTTCCGAGTTCGAGGTAACAGTCAGCAGTACTTTGGTGTTCTTCTCCAAACAATTTAATACGTATGCCAAATGCACGCTGGTGAGATTGAAGAGCTGCTTTCAAATCACCTAGTTCATAGAGTGTTACCCCCAGTGAGTAGTAACAGTCAGCAGTACTCTTGTGTTCTTCTCCAAACAGTTTAATACGTATTTCCAGTGCACGCTGTTTTGACTGCAGAGCTGCTTTAAAATCACCACGGTTATGCTGTGTTATCCCCACTTTGTAGTACCAGTCAGCAGTACTTTGGTGTTCTTCCCTAACTAGTTTTATACGTATGTCCGGCGAACGCTGGTCGAATTCGTGGGCTGATTTTATGATATCTTGTTGTTCACGTTTCTCGGTTCCAAGTTGATAGAGGTTATCAGCAACACTAGATTGATTCTCTACAGCACCAGAAAAAGAGGAAATACATATTTTATTTAACTGAATAAAGACCAAAGGAAATCAGTAGAATCATTGAATAGGAATGCAGGCGATATCATTTCAAAAAAACGTAATTAGATATTAGTGTTTAGTGATGTCAATATCGACTTTTAAGAAGGACTACGGATAAGTCTAGTAAGGACAGCACGGTGACCGGAAGAAGTTTTTTTCCGGCCACGCGTCAATACCTAAAGTTAAGACTACGACAGGCGCCAAATCGCCGCTTTTTTATAAAACGTGAATTCGCATTCTTTTTAAATTATTTGTGATTATTGCAAGTCGGTTCTTTGTCTAATGTAGGCGAACTCATATCCGAGTTAGGACAGGGAAAAGCAGGGCGTAAGAAGCTAGGGCGTTAAAACGCAAATACGCGCTCTCTGATTCAGCTTTGATGCGGAGTAGGACTGGAACTAGTTGGCCTTTCCGCTATCGATCCATCCTCGGATACCCACGGGCTGTCAGTAGGGCCGGGAGAAAAGGCGCGACAAACGTTTTCAAGCACAGGCGGAAAAGCCCCTGCCCCTGGGTACCGACTCTCACCGGACCATTTCCAAACTGTCAAGCGAATGCTGGCTCCTGATTAGGCACAAAAAGTGCTTTGTATTATTGTGCCCAATCGGCCAATAGCATCTCCTGAGTTTTTTTCGCCAGTTCGTACACGATGGTTATTGACTCGATCACTGCTTGTCTGGCTCATGCACCAAAGAAATGCACGCAGTCAGGAATCTTTCAGTTTGAAAAACGCTACATTTCAAAATACTGGTAGTCTTTACACTAGAGCCTAAATAAGCTAAGAAATATTTCAAGACAAGTAAATTTTAAATTGTTCAAGTAAAAGAAAGCTTCACATACAACTTATCTTTTTAACTTCAGGTTTTCCGACGCAACGTAATTAAGATTGATTGGCATGCTTCACCTTTCTCAAAGCTTAGAAACCGCAAGTTCGCTAAGTCGGTTCTAAGGATGGTTTTCAAGTCACTTGAAACTTTCTTGAATGGTTTCAACTTTCCGACTTCAATGAGATACTTAGCAGCTCTTAAGTCTTACTTAACAGCCTAGTGTGAAGACAACCACTGCCTACACGAAAACTAAAGACGCTTTTCCAAAAATACAAGCTTGAGCTTATGCACCTATCAATGTAAACCCCGTGGGGGGGGGGGAGTGCGGGCAAGGGGAGGGGATTTGATGCCTGGGACTATCCCCGCTGTCGGGCTTTTGATCGTGCGAAGCGACCCCGGGGTCGGGACATTTGACTTTGACCGACAGTTTGTCCGTCCCTCGAGGCTTCCTGAAAGTCACGTTGTTGGAGAAAGGTATGAAGTTTTCATTTGTTTTAATCGCCATAATCCGATACTTTAAACTGTCATCTAAACAGATAATGTCTATTTTGACAAAGTTTTTATCTTCAAGTTCCCATCTGATTGTAAAACTCGATTGAAATCGAATTCCACCATGAAAGTCAGAGGATTTTTTATGGGTCACTGATCCGACCTGTTCCGACATGTTGAGCAGATGTTATAAAGTATTTTACGTTTTATTAATATTATATAACACGGTCAATCTTCCTGGAGTGATTTTGTTGTTCAAGATAAGAGATGCTAGTGGAGAGAAAAATACTTAATTACAGCGAGTAATTTAATGGAGCTTCCGTTAACCGTAAATAAAAGTAGTAACAACGTGTTTGAAATGTTCTTTTCTTCGTTTTATAAAGTATTGTAGCATTGTTTGTTTAGATTTTTTCCCCTGGGGTGGGGGGGGCTTTTTGACACTTTTGATTGACCTTTCGTTTCCCACCCTGGGGAATTTGATCGAAAAATTTTAAAATTTGTCAAATCCCCACCCTTGCCCGCACTCCCCACGGGGTTTACATTGATAGGTGCATTACAACAGGTATCCAGCCACGCTTGCATCGATCACGCCTTCGTAAATATTAGGGAGTTTTTAAAATATGCCGCGACAGCTGACAACCCCGAAAACGTCGCATGAAAAGTGAACTCACATTTTTTAGTCTCTATCGTGATTGTTCCAACTCACTTACTTACTTACTTACTTACTTACTTATGTATCGGTCAAATCGAAGCTTCAACATGCCCCCCCCCGGGCAAACCCCGGGCATTTGACACCTTTGCCGTCCCGGGGAGGAGGGAATTTGATTATCAGAGTCTTCCAGGGGGTAGGGAATTTGATCTCCATGCGTTGGGGGTGGGGAATTTGAACTGCACCCACGATTTTCATGTGAAATCTCCTGCGTGGCGGGCTATCATGGGGGACGCGGTGTTGGGGGATTTTCGTGGAAAAGATTGTGCCTTTGTGGCCAATTGGTTACGAGGAAAGGGCTTAAACAAGCTTGGTTTTGAATACATGAATGTATAAAAGTTGTGTTTACAATGACCTATTACCAGCGATTCAATGCAACAATAAAAAGCTCAACAGAGGTTACTATTACTTTGACCTGCCGCATGTATAAGGTGAGCGATGATTCATGTCAGTGACATGGTCATGATGTAGTAGGTGGGATTTTTTTATAGAACGTTTTCTATGTTGCATTACACACGAAGAAAAGCTAAGCATTCAGTGACTTTGTAGCAGCGATTTCCGCCGCTTTGCACGAGAAGTTTGTTTGTAGTAAATACGCCAACAGTGTTTCTCAGTTTTTTTATATTGAATGCGAATTATTTGCTGTATTTATAAAGATTTTGTTCGACAACTGAAGGCGTTTCTGCCGTCTTTCTGTCATTATGTGCCTGTGAAATGTTTCCGGGGTGGGGGCATTTGATCACCTGCATGGACCCTTGTGTGGGGCATTTGAACGGCATTTTGGCCCGGGTAGGGGGGAATTTGAACAATAATTTTCAAAAAAGTCAAATGCCCGGGGGGTTGCCCGGGGGGGGCATGTTGAAGCTTCGATTTGACCGATACATTACTTACTTACTTGTCAAATACAAGCGAACTCTTCCGGAGCTGAATTTCTATCAACCATATCCAGGTTCATAAAGAGAAAGAAAATTTTGTCATTGCTTGTTTACGTCCTTCACAAAACGTGAAATTAGGCATTTTCACGTGGTGGTCGTGCAGTGACGGCAAAGAAATATACAAAAAAGCGTGATGCACGTGCAAAGTTGTTGTTTTGCCTTGTCAAGCTATTTCTTTTTTTACTTTCGCGTCGCCGCTTCATCTTAAACTTCCTATTATTTGCGATACATTGTGATCCGTCAGAAACAGAATTTTCTCAGTGCAAATTGAATTGCTCCTGCTGATAGCATCCGAAACGTTAGGAAAGCTTGGTGAACGAACCGGACAACTGTGGCGAGATAATAGCCGTCGTGTACGAACTCACGAAAAGAACTCAGGAGATGCTGTTCGCCGATTGGGCACAATAATACAAAGCATTTTTTGTGCCCAATCAGGAACCAGCATTCTCTTGACCGTTTGGAAATGGTCCGGTGAGAGTCGGTACCCAGGGGCTCTTCCGCCCATGCTTGAACTTTCAACCCGGCCCGACTGACTGCCCCTGGGTCTCCGAGGATGCTATCGATCCGCTGTCAGGGCAAGAAAAATGGCGCCGTCTAGCTGGAGGTAGGTTCGGATTTATTGCTTTATATCTTTAGATTTGATATTTGGCGTATTTCTATACGATATACAGAAAATTTTAAGTCTTGTAAGTTAAGGTGTTTTTTCGCCTTTTATGTTTAATATGTAGTGTCAAAGTGGCCTATCGAATATTACAGGTTGAAGGTCGCGTTTTATCTTGCCAGTCAAAACCAAATGATAATAAACGGCTACAAAAAAAATATGTAATGGTTTTATAAATTTTGTTTGTGCATGCAAAGTTTTAGAGTGAACTTTTATGAACCTTTAAGATTTCTTTACTTCTGAAGAGATGACTTCATAATGGCGATAGCAATTAAGGTTTTTGTTTTGTACGTTGGCGTCTAGCTTGTTACTAAATTCAGTTGCCCAGTTTAGCGATTTTTCTTTTTTAAATATACACTAAGATGGTAAATAATTTTTTAGTTATAGAACCGCGATCCAAGAAGGTTCAGACTATTTTTGAAGTTCTACTAGAAAATTACATTCGAATGATCTCGTGCATGTGACACTGTCTTTACATAAACAACAACAAATTCTGCTTCACTGTGGTATAAATCTAAAGGTTGTATTGCACAGAAACAGAATGAAGCCTGAGGAGAAATTTGCTTTCAAATCCCTACAAAGATTCCACTGTAAAATTAAATCATAGAATGTGTTTGTTATTATGCTCTTTTGCAGGACAACAGTGAGTGCCCGGCCTGAAAATACTACTAGGACACACACTGAAAGATAAACGAGTTCATAATACCGCGATTATGAAGAAGAACATGAAGAGGTCTTAATTTGATTGCCAGTAGAATAAATTAAGACTGTGCAACATTGTATTTTTGTCGTCAGAGGCTTAAGTGTGGTGTTGCATCCCCTTTTTTCCACTTTGGATATCTTGTATTGGGATTGGCACAAAATGTCTGAATGGACACTGGTCTTGAACTCTTATAGAGAGTAAAAGGAAATGACTGAAGAATAGTAGGGACCAACTCGATTTCCTGGAGGTGCCTTATCTTTTTATTGTACTACTGTATAATATTTCTAGCATTATATCCTCTCTCTTAATATTATATATTGTAGACAAGGAAACAGGAAAGTATTTTTGAATCAACTTTGATTAAGCCTGCTGCAGTTAATAAATTTAACCAAGAATGAAATTGAATCATACTGGACATGAAGTATACAAGTGTGCTAGGATTGCTGGCCACACTAAAAAGTTTGTTTTTCAATGGTTTAATAGCTGTTACAGGCCATTTGTATTTCATTTGTGCACAATTCTGTATAATTTTCGTGTTTGCAATATACTTTTGAATTTGTAATGTAAGATATATATATATATAGCAATGTCTGGTTTCAATGTAAGACTAGTGAATGTTTAGTTTCTTTAAAGGTCCTTAGTTTGTCTTGCATGGGTAGTTTTCAGTGACCATTTCATTACAGAAAGCTGTTATTATCAAACAAAAATATTTTCTGGGATACTTATTTGTGTTCTTGCGACCTCTTTGTTAGTTTTTCAAGGGCAGTGAATTATATTTTTTTCACATCCTTCTTCTTCATTGCACAGTAGTATTAGTGTACAAGATAAAACATGATGATTCTATTAAATTTTAAATTTACCCGGACTTTAGTTTTCACAATCTGTCCAAATGTAATGCTCAATATTGCAGACAGCTCAATAAGGTGTTTAGAGAACAATACTGATGTACACCAACAAATCCAAACTTTAATAGTGAAAACAGATCATCTGGCCTTGAAACTGGACAGCAAAAAATAAATGCCATAGCAGATGATAACTTACACAACTTGATATTAAACTGAAGTAGAGAACTGATAATATTAGTCTAAAAATGATGTCAGTGCTATCATCTGAGTTGTGATGTCATTTTCTTACCAAGTCACGAAATTTTAATACAGGTCACGGAGGTGGAACTATATTCAATACCGATATTTGTTCGCGGGGGAAAAATTGAACAAGACAGAAAACGAACGTGAGAAAAAATAATTTGTTCGTTCGCTATTGCTTGCAGCAAATGAATGCCACGGGATAATGGCTAAATTTCGCTGGATAATCTCTCTGACAGTCCAATATAATGTCCGCCATGTTGTTTTGTCTCTTTGGTAGTACCCAGACGCTTGCATCACAGCTAGATCGCTCAACCCCGCTCGTTTCAACGCCCTAACTTCTTACGCCCTTTGGAAAAGAGGTCATCATTGTTTGTTTACGACACGTCCCCCATAAGACATAAAATTAGGAATTTTCACGTCGAGGTCGTGCAGTATGGCAAAAAAATGGGGAAAAAAAGTAAGATGCACGTGCAAATTTGGTGATTTGCTAATTAAACTTATTTTCTCACCGTACACGTTTCCCGAGTACGTAGGGCATCGTGGCGAGCCGTAGTTTCGCGTATGTTAACTCAGGGGCGTACCTAGAATTTTTCAAAGGGAGGGTCACACTACGTCACACCCGGGGTACTTACCAGATTGGTATGTCCAAATCCAGGCCGTGTTTTGCTAAACACCAGTACGTGTATTTAGGATTTGTGATTAAGCAGTTAATACTTACTTGAAGAATTCAATAAAAGCTCACGACAAGCTTTGTATTCCTCTTCGTTAATAGTTGTTGTGAGTTTTACTTCAGCTAGGCCAAATTCCTTGAGAATTTCTTCTGTTACAAGGAATTTTTGTGCCACTTCATTTAAGTGACCTGTGCAATAGTCTTCCCAGAGTTCGTCAAGGATCTGAAGAGAGCTACATTCCAGTATGAGTATTAAACTTCCACTTTGAACATCCACAACAATAACTTTACGCACCTCCTTCATGTACTGAATAAATTTATTAAACTCCTCAGGTGTCGAAGGGTTGAGTTCCTGTAAGTACTTTGTCGCAATTGAATTTAAAACTTCCTGTGAAGTAGGAACAGCTCCCCTCCTGACACTTTCTTGATCTAAACCTGCAGCTGCTGTTCCTTCGACCACTCCTCGGGATCCATTAGGTGCTTGTGCCTTTGAAGACTCCTCTTTTTGCACTGTCTGTGCTTCCTGTTGAGTTACTATCCCCCCTGTAGCTCCTCCCTGAGGACAAAGTCCATTGATTTCCGCACAATCAATCCGCACAGGAAGACGAGCTGTTAAAAATGATAACTAAACTTAGTTTACTGAGTAAAACGAGGCGCCTCGGCACATCTAGAAATCCAAACATGTTACAAATTCCACGATAATTAGCATGACTTTTGATTGCAGTTGCCTGAAGATGCAAAAGTAGGTACAGTGAAGCGCAGTAAATACCACATTTATGGGATGAATAGGCTCATACTGTGCCTCTCTGACTATCGAGCTCTATCGATCTACAGAAGATCATTCCTATCACCCTGATGCTACATTGCACAAGGACTATTATGCTATTAGACAGGTTGTCAGATTGATTGCTACTCATTACTCATACCACCAGGCTTCAACAGGCTCGGATCGAGGTAGGAAAATTAAAAGAGAAAAAAAAAAGATGCCATGAGTGATCATTAGTGAACCAGGTTGTCTTATTAATCGGGGAGGTAAAAATAACACATCATATATATGACATCATGATATATCAGTGTCAAAACTGTTTTGATTGGGCATGCTTTAACCATCTTCTAGACGCACACCATGAAATGGAGTTGAAAGAGTCAGTGGAAAAAAAGCAGCATGCATGTTTCAGACAAAGCCGCAGGATGTTGTAAAGTTGAGACTGAAGAAGGAAACAAGCAATGGATGGAGCCAAGGTCCATGGTTAGAGCCCTGTTGTTGCATTCTCACTCATCAACTCATTTTTGCCTTAATGAGTGGCGACAACATTATAAGCTGACGGAATAATGCATCAGCAATCAGTCAAGGGCTTCATATGCTGCAGCAACCGTGTGAAGCTTGCATTGCGTGCCGTTATTTTACCATCCGAGGAACTACAGTCTTCGTGTTTTTTTAGTTTTTTTAATCGCAGGAGTTTGACGCGAGTTGGACGATTCAACTGCCCCTAGAACTTATTTGCGCTACAGCTATAAATGTCTTTCACTTATTATAAAGCGATGTAACTCCGATATAGAAAAACATCAGTGGTTTTAGGAAGGCGCTAGTTTGGAATTTAACGCTTATTTGTATTATCATTGGAGGTTTTATTTAATGGTGTTCACTTAGACTTACGTGACGTAAATAGAGTAGCAACCTCAGCTTGCACCGTGGCCTTCAGCTCATCCATTTTTCGCGACAACATACCGACGTCTTCTTTGTCTGCAATATCGCTTTCCATTTTTTCCTTCACACTTTCAAGAAACCTTATATACGATTTATATTCTTCTTTGATAGCCTGCTCAAGTCTGCGGACTTCATTTATGGGAAAGTCTGACTCTAACAAACTACCAACAGCGTCAATTGGAGCTGTAGAGACATTCAGCGCTTGGAACGCGTCCTTGGCGTGTTTCACGTACTGGTCAAAGGTTACCTTGGTTATCTTGGAACTGGTCGAGTGACAAAGGGAATTCCTCAAAAGGCGCAACTGATCTATTGCTAGTACCTGAGTTTCCTCACTGTTTCCAGTTATGCTCACTACGGACGGATGAAAATGGCCGTGTGATAATCCACGAGGCTTAACATACACGTCATTTAGCGTCCCGTGATGCAAGGCGAAG